AAAGGAGACAAATTTAGAGAAGAAAACTTTTTTGGTCGCTACCCGGATTCGAACCCGAGACCTTTGAATGAGAGGCGAACACCTTAACCTCTAGGCCACGAGAGCCCCCTGGGTTATAAAAGTGATTATGCAATATCGAAGTCGAAGGTGCCATATGAAATCAACAATTTTCCAGCTTTGAAAGGTCATAAGTTAATAAAGAAACAAAGAACAGCATCATTCAAACTTCACGGGTAGGTTGCCTTAAGTAGTGCAAAGAAATGCTGAAATTTGTGTATGTGTACATGTGCTGGCAACTACATAAAGTCATATGAGCCCCAAGGGGTGTTTAGTTTTAGTCGAGGTTTTACGGTGCTCGCAACTGCATAAGGTCATATGAGCGCCAAGGGGTGGATGTCAACAGAGAAGTCCTTACAAGGAATCAGACTTACTCTGTTCACCTCTCTAGCTTCAACAGCACAAAGTCTGCTTCGACTGTCAAGGCACCCCGGAAATAGCAGTTCATAAGAGAGTGATAAACATACAAAAGAAGTAGAGGGAAAATGACGACAGTAAGGATGAAGAAAGAAAAATCATCAGTTTAGACAATCTTTATTTGACTGAAAATTAACAAAAGTAAGACCATCGCTGTTTATTGTTTTGAGGGTGCAGACGGCTAAGACATTTCATTGGAGTAAACCAGAACATATGGTCGCTTTTAAGCACAAGAGGGCTATCCCGAAAAATGCTGTTTTGAAAAAAATCGAAGGTAAAGTTTTGCCCCTTGTTCAGTTTCTTTAAAAGACAAGGGGAGTTTTCTCTATAACCAAACAAAATAATACACACCAATGAAACCAAACATCTCCTAAAGGTAGGACAATGCCCACTTAGGTGTAGATCAAGATTTAAGATTTCTGGAACCCCCGAAATTTCGGGTTAGCCCGATTGTCCTTAAAAGCGACCGAATATTCAGATAAAACAGCATGTTCTAAATATCAGAGTTACATAGACATGGATAGTGCCAGACATGTAAACGTTCATGTACTCGAGTGCAGATGTGCTCATTCATTCATACATACTCTCTCTCTCTCTCTCTCTCTCTCTCTCTCTCTCTCTCTCTCTCTCTCTTTCTTTCTTACTCTCTCTCTCTCCCTCTCTCTCCCTCTCCCAATCTCTCTGTCTCTGCCTCTCTTTCTCCGTCTCTCTCTTTTTACTCTTTTACACATACACACACACACACACACACACACACACACAC